ATAAGCGAGTACCAGGTTTAAAATTTGGGATACCCGTGGCCGTATTCATTAACGTTATCCAGTGGGTAACCCTATCCAGTGGGTAAGTGAGAGCAGTGCCGCACAAAATGCCACTGGCTTGAATTGATATCCATAAAAAATACTGTTAAGTCCGCTTATCCAGCAGCTTCGTGAATACCGGTATCGTGCGTAGGGCCTACCCACTGGGTAAGCTTACCCACTGGTAATGTTCATGAATTAGGCCACTGGAATACATAACGTCGAAATGGGTCTGCATCCACACAAGTTTAGAGAGAAGGCTGCTGTAGGTGCCCTTACGGTAATCATCTTAGCAGCTTGCGCTGCAAGTGCAGACGATGTCTTGACAATTACGCCTATTTAAGACTAACAATTTGAATTTGCACTCTGCACAACATTAGAATAACTTTAGTTTATTGACAGTTTTCTCTTTCTTACGACATGTAATCTGAGAACGGTCCTGTAAAGGATGCCGCTTCGCTCGCTCATGCTCAGTATCAGGAGTCTTTCAGCTCGAGGAGCTTCGACCTTCAGTCCTAATAAGGTAAAGTCTCATTGTCTCCATGTAGAGTAACTTTGCGCTACCCAAAGTATTTTTTCTAGTTTGGTTCTTTGCAACGAAGTGACATTCCTATAGAACGGCTCGTCGTGCCCAAACCGGAGAAGACAAAAGACTTCGCAAAAGAAAAGGATTTCACTGTCTCCAGAAGGAAGATAAAGGAGCTCAAAATTCCTGTCGGTATATCGAAAACAGAGCGAGAGCGATTGGAAAAAATGCAGTCCAAGGAAACGCCGCCTCCAAGTCATTTGTGCTTGATTCGTGAGTGTCGATACTGTAACTGTAAACTATCCACTCGTTGTAGTCCACATTGATGTGCCATTTTTCAGAATGTTCTAAGCCAGAATTCAACCTTCTGGAATGCAAACCGGGTGTCAGTCATTCTTTATGCAGTACATATTGGGAGAAGAACAAGCACAGCGACGAGTGGTTCATCATCAGACGAAAGACAAAGGTTGGGTCGATTGTTCAGCTTCTTATTATCACTTATTTACCTGTTATGCAGGAGTCTATAAGTCAGTTTGCTACTGAGGAAAATGCATGGGAACATTATGTACCGGATCGTCTCGACCCGCTTATACG